AGAGCAACTAAATAATACATATAACACCCTAGACACATGCATGTAACTCAGCAGATCTACTACGAAATAGAAGATCAAGGAGAAAGGGAGTGGAATTTGTACCGGGACTCGCGGGGCGTGAGTGTTGTCGTCCTGATTGAAGTTGTCATCAAGAATGGCTGGCCCGGCCCGGCGACACACGCCAAGCATGCGCTGCCCCCTCGCGACGGCCACCGCGCCTCCCCATGGAGGAGACAGAGAGGGACGGTTAGCCGCCTCAACGGATGTTCCACCCATGCCGCCTCCAACGGATGTTCCTCCGCCGGCGATGGCGAGAAATTGACCCGAGGTTGCGTGCACTGCTATGGAAGTCACGCGGATGGGGTGGGAGCCATGGGGGACCTCGTTGTCCCCGAATGTAGCCCACGAGGCTCAGATCTGCGGCCATCCTCGCTGGCGTTGAGATCCAATGACTCCAACCCCAAATGGACCGGTTGAATCTGCTTGAACTCGAGAAGGTTTGCGCTGTCGGGAAGAGGCCGCTACCACCCGGCATGGCCCCGAGGGATTACCGGCGCCAGAAATCCTGATGCGCTGCGTCGTTGCCGTGGCCGGCGCCGTCGATGCCATGGTCGCCGTTGTAGCCGGTGCCGTTCATGTCGTCGCCGTCGTGTCCTTCCATCACCGAGCGCGAAGGTGATCCTTGATCTGACTCGACGGGGTGGATCTCTGGTGTAGCTTCGTGGATCTGCAAGGGCGCGTTGGAATGGTGGGAGGGAGTGACCGGCGGGGTGGGGCTAGGGTTCGAGAGTGGATGAGAGTGAGGATAGAGGGCGGGTGTCGGGCGAGCGTGATGAATGGATAAGGGGTGGGTGCGGGGTACCAGGCGTCCTTCATGCCTCCCAAACCGCATGATGCCAGGTCGAACACCCTCCATGAACAATACCAGGCCAAAATATTTTGGCTGCCGCTTAGTTCAAAAAGCCCAAAGCCAAAAAATTTTGGACGGGCAATCTAAACGGGCCTTTACGCGAGTTGCCGCTTCACCGGGCGGAAGGGAGCAGCAGCGGCGCTTTTTTCCCACAACGCGTGAGCTCTCTTGTCCCATCGCCTTTTCGCCTTTCCTCAATCCCTAGAGCCAAGACCCAAGAAGGCAAGAGAGGCGCAAGTCGTGATGTGTGTTAGAAACGATAGACAATATAAACGCGATGAAAACAGTAGATCAAACATAGGGGACACGAGATTTTAACGTGAAAAACCTTTTCAAGGAAGAAGGGAAAAAACCACGGGCACCGGCCAGCAAATCTTCACTATATTGGGTGAGGTTACACACGTCGGGGATTTATAATTTTTCTTATCCCAAGACGACGGTTTACATGAGGTATATATAGAGATGGAAAACCCTAATAGCGGCCCAAGACTCCCGGCGATGGGCCTCGCTTCGCTCTGGCAGAAATTAGCCTTTATCTTTTACATAACTGAATTTGGAACACATCTCTGTGGAGGTCGCCTCATTATTTCTAGATGGCCGTTTCAGGCTCCACTGTGAGTACAACAACTGCGAAGGTTGCCAGCAGTTGAGATCAGGTGAAATGTTGCAAAATCTGCTTTCGGAGAGCAAAAATAAGCCAACACACAGAGAAAGGAACGGTATGACGAGAGTTAAGTCAGCGATTGTGAGTTATATATGATAGGATGGTGCATAGTGGCACATTTATACTTCTTCTCGGTTGCTAAGTCCTATCCTCCATTTTGGTTTACTCGACGCCGCATCTTTTTTTTCCTCGAAATTCTGATCGTGCGTCTTTTCTCTGCACAAACTTTTTCATTACTTGAAAACTCATATTATATGATTTGCTTCGAAAAATACTTCACAAGTGTTATTTGGAGTTTTATCAACAATTTGCTTGTGTAGGTGGGGACATGGTATTTTCGGAGTCCTTTTGCGAGGAATTACAAAAGATTTTTTTTTTCAAAAAAATGTGAATTAGAAGAGTTGGTCGACGAAATATGAATCAGAAACTCAATCTTGATATCCATATGAACAATACATTCTTGTTACCATGAGATGTATTGGCTGCTACAGATTATTTGATTATTTTTGAACTATATGAAAACCTGTTGTAGAGGAAAAAAATATATGATCAAAATTGCTCCAACAATTTATTGGTAAAAGCCATCTGCATCTCAAAGCGAGAAAAAAAGATGAGGAGAATCACTCTCCAGTCCCCATCACCCATCAGTACATGTCCACGTCCGCCTCTGCTTCGGTTGTGCAGGCGGGCCATGCCTAGATGCCCTCCCCTGCAACACCACCGTCAAGCAGCGAGCGGCTTTCCCCCATGGCCCCAGTATGGCAGTATCTATTGGAACCAGCTGTTCCTTTGCCGCGGACAGCCGCCCCCGTTCGTCACCATGTCGTCTCCGCGTATCGCATCGCAGGCATACCTATAAATACCACCTCCCAAAAAACCACACCCTCCACACAGCACTCAAGCTCCTCAAGCTCAAGACAACCGAGCAGCTTCACTCCACTCTCAACACCGACCTCAAGCAGGGATCAGCACTTTAGCAGCAGCAGGTAGCGATGGACATGGGCCGCCTCGAGCTCTCGCCATCCTCCTCCTCGTCGGACCACAACAAGAAGGCGGTCTGGTCGCCGTCGTCCTCGTCCTCCCCGCAGCCCGCCAAGAAGCGCCCCGCGGGGCGCACCAAGTTCCGCGAGACGCGGCACCCGGTGTTCCGCGGCGTGCGCCGCCGGGGCGCCGCGGGCCGGTGGGTCTGCGAGGTGCGCGTCCCGGGGAACCGGGGCGCGCGGCTGTGGCTCGGCACCTACGTCGCCGCCGCGATGCTCGCCCTGGGCCGCGGCCGATCGGGGGCGGGCTGCCTCAACTTCCCGGACTCCGCGCGGCTGCTCGACGTGCCGCCTCCGTCCGCGCTCTCGGGCCTGGACGACGCCCGCCGCGCCGCCCTCGAGGCCGTCGCGTACTTCCAGCGCCGATTCGAGGCCTCCGCCAGCGGCGCCGCTGTCGACGAGGTGACATCGAGCGTGTCGGCTCCGCTGCCATTGCCGGACATTGTTTCCGGCTCGGCGGCGACGTCGCTTGAGCAAGTACCTGTGAAGGCTGACGAGCCGGCGGCACTGGACGTCGAAGCGTTCGAGCCCGACTGGTTCGGCGACATGGACTTGGACGCGTACTACGCCAGCCTCGCGGAGGGGCTGCTCATGGAGCCGCCGCCGGCGGCATCCGCCTGGGAACATGGCGACTTCGGCGACGGCGGAGCGGACGTCGCGCTTTGGAGCTACTAGCAACTTAACAATAAGCTTTGACGATCCCCAACTGATTGTACCCTGTTATGACTCTGTAACAAAATTAACTTCAACGGTTCAAAATTTTGGTGTCAAACTTTTCGGTCTCTGTTGTTGTCTTTTGAGCATCGACACCTCGAGGTTCGTCCATGCAGTTTTTAGCCATAAACAGATTTTAAAGAGAGAGAGAACAGGAAAGCAACACATGCCTCAAAGAGTCCTTGCAAGAAAGGGCATCCGTTCATTTGCGAGTTTTGCGACTGTAACTTTGTGAATTTGTGATGGTCCCATAGACCAAGACACGAGCAAATAGTGGAGGCAACTTTCACGTGCTGGTGATCCGGTCCCAGTGACTGATCCAGAAGATGTGGCCATTCCACTTCGGACCCAGTCCGGTCATTCAACCTGCTCTGCTGGCTTAAGCCACTCGTTGAATCTTCTTTCCTTCTTGCAGTCAAAATCCTTCCAGTGAGTTACGCGAGCTGTCGCTTCACTGGGCGGAAGGGAAGCAGCAGCGGCGCTCTTTTCCCACAACGCGGTGAGGTCTCTTGTCCCATCGCCCCTTTCGGCCTTTCCTGAATCCCTAGAGCTCCCCTTTCGGTGGGAGCCAGCAAATCTTCACTATATCGGGTGATGTTATAAACGTCGGGGATTTGTAACTTTTCTTATCCCAAGACGACGGCTTATATGAGGTATATATAGAGATGGAAAACCCTAATAGACGGCCTAAGCCTCCCGGCGACGGGCCTCGCTTCACTCCGGCAGAAGTTAGCCTGAATTTGGATCACAACTAAACGATGTGGAGGTCGCCTCAATATTTCTAGATGGCCGTTTCAGGCTCCACTGTGAGTACAACAACTGAGGGCAGAATTTTTATTTTATAGTCTTTTAATTGAGGAGAGTATCCGGAGTATCAGGTGGCAAATTTTGCTTCGACTGCCTGTTCGCTGCATACAGATACACGCACACGGCTAGCAGGTCTTACACGCGGGTAACTGCCGAGCAGGAGTCACGAGAACTAAACAAAATCGATCAATCCTCGGGTCTCATGCTCCAAGACCAAAGTTTGCAATTATGTTTTATCTTTTCATGTCCTAACATTGCTTCATGATGAGTTGCTGACTGTGGTCTATCGGTCTATGGATGGCCAAGGAAAGACACTGCTGTGGCATCGCAGACTTTTTCTTACGCCAATCTGGAATACCAGCTTTGTGCGTTGACATCTGGATGGCCAGCGCAGGCTTAGACCTTCAAGATCTTCTCTAGTCAACTGAGGAACCCAAAACATGGTCGTCCGCACCTCAGCAAAGAGATTGAACCGGAACGTTGTCAACGGGCCTCACCGGCCAAACACGCCATGAAGCTGATAGTGTCCAGTGACGGAGTGACACCCCGAGGCCAAGGCAAGTAGGCAGTCACTGACGTCGGACCCCACCCCACCACCGCACCGCCGCAGTGGCTGACTTGGACCGCCACGCACGCCGATCCTCCACGCCACGCTGTCCATTTCCATTTCCAGCTAATCGCTTCTCCCTCCCCGCGGCACTGACGACCAGTCACCAACGTACCACCTGCACCGAGTTGACCAGTTACGTACCTATATATACTTTCCTGCCTCCTCCCCCTCCCTCCATCCAAGTCCGAGCTCCATCGATCCCAGCACGACCGGAGCCACAGCCACCACGCCTACAGGATCTTCAGTGAGTCTGCAATGGACACGCCCTCGCCGCCGCCGTCGTCCGCGGAGCAAGAGGGGTACCGGACGGTGTGGTCGGCGCCGCCCAAGAAGCCGGCGGGTCGGACCAAGTTCCGGGAGACGCGGCACCCGGTGTTCCGCGGCGTGCGGCGCCGCGGCCAGGCGGGGGCGGGGCGGTGGGTGTGCGAGCTGCGCGTCCCGGGGCGGCGCGGCTCGAGGCTCTGGGTCGGCACCTTCGCTACGCCCGAGCTGGCGGCGCGCGCGCACGACGCCGCCGCCATCGCGCTCACCGGCCGCGCCGCCTGCCTCAACTTCGCCGACTCCGCGTGGCTTCTCCCGCCGCTGATGCCCGCGTCGCTGGCCAGCGCGCGCGAGGTCAGGAACGCGGTCGCCGAGGCCATCGGGGCGTTCCGGCGGCGCTCGGAGGAGTCGGCATCGGCGGCGGCATCGCCAGCGGCGGAGACGACGGCAGACGAGGACGAGGAGGGCAGTGGCTCTGCTGGCGCAACGCCGTCGCTGGACGTCACGTTCGAGCTCGACGACATGTTCAGATTCGGCGGCATGGTTGATTCCGCATCGTACTACGAGAGCTTGGCGCAGGGGCTGCTCGTGGACGCGCCGGCCGCCGCCGGAGCGGGAGCGTGGTGGGAGGACGTCGAGCATGGCACCGCTGACATCGCACTGTGGAGCTACTAGCGCATTACCAACCTGCTTCTCACAAATTCCAGATGGTTTTGTTTCCCAATCGAGAGAAACAGTGCATCGGATAGTGAGGGATTTTACAATTTTAGAATAAGCTAGTATTGTGCTAGCTCTCTTGGTGCTCATGCTTCCTTTCTTATTTGGGGAAGCTAATTTGTATTTTTTTAGAAATAAAGAAGAATGACTCAGACATTTTCTAAAAATCTGGGGACTACTTCTGTTTGAAACCTGTGCATTTAAAAGCCAAAAAGATGGCCAGCTCCTCGGCCTGCGCCTTTACATGTTTTACACCGCGCGATCTGTTGGTTGACGGCCACCGTGCCTCTTGTTTTGTTGGTAGGTGGGTGCCTGATTCTCTAACTGTTCTCTCCTCTTACCTTTGAGCTTCTCGGTTTGGCTTCTGTCCGAATCCGCTTCTGCCTTCGTTTCTGTGACCTTGCCTTCCGATTCGGCCAGCAATAATTGCGTCCTCGGCTTCTCCCCAATCGGCCTGCTGTCATTTTCTCTTCCCTTCCCTCGGCCTGTTGCTCCGCTGCTCGCCCGCTCTCCTCTCCTTCCGCCTCCTTCGCCGCCGGCGCTTCTTTGTACGCTGCCGCTGCTGCCCCTCCTCGGCGGCCTCGCGCCGCCGCAGGCTCGCGCCGCCGCAGGGCCTGGGGTGCAGGCCCAGCTCCGCCTCCTTGGGGCTGCCCAGCATTCTACTGGGAGCCGTCGTCGGGGCCTGCGGACGGCCGTCGCGGTTCCGCCGTCCCGGGAAGCGGCTGTTCCCGCGGAGAGCCTCGCTGTCGTACTGTTGCCTCTCTTCTGTCTTATCCACCCTTCTGTGCTACATGCGGTCCGGTTCGCTCTTCGGTGTGCCAATGTCTGATTTGGTTGCTTCGTTGCCCCTGTAGGTTCCCCTCGTCGTTGCTGCTGCGTTCATTGTCGACACACGCCTCTGAGTTGTGGCCAGGGGTCGCTGCTCCGCCGTTCAGCCACGCGTCTGTGCCACCGGAGAATCTCGCCGTCGTCCAGTTGGTGCGCGTCGTCCAGTTGGTGTGCGCTGATTTTATTCACCTGCTTCCGTCTCATTGTGTGTTATAGATGCGTTTCGGTTCTCTGTTTCCTGTGCCCTTGCCTGATAAGACCGCTCCGTTCCCCCTGCAGGTTCCCGTCGGCGCCGTTGTTGTCCCTGTTGGTTGCCTGTTCTTTCCAGGTCCGTTCTTCAGCCCGCCTGCCTTGTGCGTCTCCTTTTCTTATGTTCATCTAAGATATTATACATCCTCACTGATGCAGCGTTTTGGGTTTCTTATCTTGCATGAACGTCATGTTCGTGTTGGCTTGCGTGAGTTTGGAATTTTTAAAAAAGGGGGTTCTGTGTGTTTTGGACAAAACATCAAAAACAAGGGAAAAAATGTTCTGTTTCCGCATGTCCTACTTAGCTGTTTTACAGGCTGTGGTGCAGCATTGCTGCCTTTCTTATGTCTCCGTTATACGGCAGACAGTAGAGGATGGGGCTAATTTGTATGGTGTTGAGCTGCAGCTGCCCCAGCACGTTGCTCAAGGCCCATCTGGCACCACACTTTTCTTCTGGGCTCCCCCGGGTTTACCAGCCTCTTCTGCTTATGAGACTGCATCTTTGCAAGCCCTGGTACACTTACAGGCCACGTTTGGTTTCATTATAGCTGATTACAGTATTCACGGTTTATTGTTGTACAGGAATTTAGCTCGCCATCTTTTCCCAATTGCAAATAGAGGTATCCACCTAGCTAGGCTGGTTATTGCTACTTCCAGTGATGCTGGCGCACCCTGTCCGCTGCTCCTCGCAGTTGCGCAGCAGCTAATTGATCAAGTAGGTTCCGTTCCAGACGGAATGGTGTTTTAGCGTCTGATGGTGCTCTCCAAATTTTTTTTACCTGTTTCCCTAACCTTTGTTTCGTGGTTCATGCTTCCCGCTTGTCTTCACAGCATGTTACACCTTTTTCTTTCCTGTATGTTGACTAGGTTTCCCACGGTTCCTCTCAGTTTGCTTCAATGTTTCATAGTCGTCAGTTTAGTTCCCACAGCAGTGTGCCTTTCTCATTTGTGCCTAATTTACTGACCCTCGATAAGTTCATGATTCCTCATTCCTGGCTAATTGACTCATCCACACCGACTGCATGCTTTGTTTTAGTTTCTTTGCGTATGTGTTTGTTCTGTTCTTACGTGCTTTGACCACCCTTTGTCTATAACAACCTGCCTGGGTCTATCAACAGGAAGCAGCTCATATACCACAGTCATAGGAACTATGCGATCCACTGGACGAACTAACCCTTACCATAGACTACTACCACAAAAACGTGCAAAAGCTGCATGGATACTACGAAACCAACAAGGTACGCTTCTAACATCCAGCTAGGTGTCTCATCTACTACCGCTACCTCACATATTCAGAAACAATGGATGCCTATGCTTTCAGCAAAAATACATCTCAACCAGACTGCAGACAGAAACGCCGAGCCTAGCAGGCAACCGCTGGGATTGGATGAATGCAACAGAAGAATGATGTACATCAGCATCATCATGCATCGCCTATCACCAGACCTTCACCAGCACCACCACACATCGGCAGCGCTACTACCACCGAAGACAACTATTTGTGTACGCCGGCTTAGAGATCAGCTACCGTGTATAGCTTTTCCACTATAAAATACTTATCCCTGTAATATATTTCAATAGACCTGTATAACCTCTTAACGTGCTACCGCGCGAGCGCGCGGAATCGCGTGCCAATCAACTAGTCAAACTATAAAATTGGGGTGGTCCAAGTCTCTCCACCTACGTTTGGGAATCTGATCTCATATATAATCCTGCAGAGTTATAAACAAATGGTTCAGTAAAGGACAAAAACACCTATCATATGCGGACAATCTTTTGTGTTTGCCATTCTTTCAGTCACCACTTGTTGATTTATCTATTCCCTGGAGTAGATTCTTGCTCTTGAAATGCCTGTCCCAGTACTTAGTTAAACTAATGGAGGTATGAAGAACATATACTTAGACTAATGATTGTATCATTTGTTGGACATAGCTAGCATGATAAGCCTGTCATGGTGACATATATATATACATATACTATTGAAGAAGATATAAATAAGGGTTATTTGGATTCATGCCATTATAATTTTCGATGTTCGGTGAAACATCATTACTTTTCATCTATTTTGAAGCATGTCATTATAATTCTTCGTTTCCCACAAAAATACCACTGAATACGTATGGACACAGTCTAAGCCCAGCTACAGACGTATACGAAGACGTATACTTCGTCACCCTGTCACGGACACGCAGTCCCCACATGCTTCTTCTTCCTCCTCTCCTCCTCTCTTTCCATCCCGACGCGGACACGGCCACGGCGAGCAGCAGCAGCAACAGCACGCCGGCAGCCCGCGAGCAGCAGCAGCAGCAGCACGCGGCCGCCGGCGCCGGCGGCCGTCGCGGTCAACGTGACGGGTGTGCTGTCGGCGTTCCCGGACCTCAGCGACTTCACGCAGCTGCTGGCGTCCAGCCCCGTGCTGGCGGAGCTCGCGGGGCGGTCGTCGCTGACGCTGCTGGCCGTGCCGAACGGCAACCTCCCGTAGTCGCCGTCGGCGTTCGCGGCCGCGTCGGGCGCCGACGTCCTCCGCTACCACATCCTCCTCGAGTACCTGGCCCCCGCCGACCTCCGCCGCCTTCCCGCCTCCGGGAAGCTCGTGACCACGCTATTCCAGACCACCGGCCGCGCCCCCGCGGACCTGGGCACCATCAACGTCACCACCGCGGGCGCCTCCCTCGCCGTCGTCCGCTCGCCGGCGCCGTTCCCGGGCTCGAACGCCACCGTCCTCGGCGCCATCACCGCGGTGCCGTACAACCTGGGCCCGTCCACACGTCTCCATACTTATTCAGTGGTATTTTTTTTAAAATAAAGAATTGTAATGACATGTTTCAAAATAAACGAATAGTAATAATATTTATCAAACATCGAAAATTAAAATGACATAAATCTAAATAACCCTATAAATAAACACTACATGAGACAATGTGCCTCCATTGTACTCAAGTGCAAAATCAACCATCTGATGGTTCCACTTCCACTTACAATAATCTATTCCCCCTTTTTTCTGTTCTATTGTTCTTTCAAATGTTGTCCACTAATAAACATTCAAACGAATGGACAGTTTTAGCTTGTGTATGCAAAATGCTTCTGAAAAAAGAAAGTAAAACATTTTACAACATTTTTTTGGTTGGACTAAACCTCTGTAGAAGTTCCTGACCAGATCAAACCGCAGTATCATGGGCTCATGGCAGTTGCAAAATGCAAAGCAATGATTTTTTTAGACCAAAAGCGAAGGCTGTCACCAGATAACAGACGAGTCTCCATTAGGCAGGCCATACCTATTCCAGATGCAGTCATTAGCCTCTTTCAAGGTAACGTTATAGTGATACTTAACATAATCTAACATTATAGTAATGATTTGCTTACTATAAATAGCAGTACTCCGATCCATTTGTCAGTACTCATTAGTTTACGGCATGCACACGTCCCTAGGATTTCTTGGAACTTTAAGATGAGAATTATAAAAACTGCTCTCGTCAATGGTTGAATGATGAGGATTGTGGTGGAGATTTCAAAGTGAGAGGTTTGTGCTTTTGTTTGTCTTAGCTCCTGACCCTGCTTTTCCCAATATTGACGGGAACTTTAAAAGGTAGCCATATTTCAAGTTCTATCCTCTCAAAGAAAGAGGGAATCTTCCTATTTCAAAAACTCATTAGGCTTTGCTAATACACAGAATGACAGAACTCATCCACAGCAATTCGGCAAGAAACTTAATTGATTTTCTCCAAGAATTCAGGAACCTTATCTCTTCTTCTTTTTTTTGGCCTAGGAGAAACCATATTATTATACATGCCAGTTGTCTTATATTTGTCGGTTGCAACAAGCCAACAATCAGATTAGACATGAGTTAAACCAGAGAAAGAGATGGAATTTTCAGTTGCATT